CATTTGAAAAGTTTAATGGAATAGGAAATTCCAAACTGGTTTAAATCTCACATTGTTACATCTCAGTAAGTAGTGTATGATTTCCTTTTTATTTCCTATTTTAAGTCCCTCATTGCTGAGGCAGTGTGACCATGAATAAATTTGCAGAAAGGGTAGATGAGTGCTGGATGTTGCTCAAAAAGATCGAGGAATGCAAATTTTTCATATCAACTGTGAGATTGCCTCAAGAGGGGGTTCTTAACTTTTTGCTCCATGGACCTCTTTGTCAATTAATTGGAAAGTATGGATCCCTTCTCAGAATGTTATGGTAGACAATTTTATGACACCCAGCATCAGCATGTCTTTAATTTAATTGTTAGGATTTTTCAAAATTACATTTTTCAACTTTCTCACAATTTAAATAGTGCTCCTCTACTTCAAAAGATCAAAGAAACTGTTTGGGAGATCATCTTCTCTTTGCTACCTTTTTGTGTTGTCAGATAGTAGGCAAACTATGTCGCACAATAGTTTTTACACAGCAGGACTGTGATCATATGTGAATTCAGTGTCAGATCTAACAACTACTGTAATTTCAAAGTATGGATAGGCATAAGCAATTTTTCGAGCTATGCAACAACAGTATTGTGATTTGAAACGAATACTGTAATTTATAGCATAGGTCATATGTGAAGGAAATGCCAAATTTCAGATAGAGATCAGGGAAAATAAAGATAATACCGGTAAGTTAATTCTTTTAAAGTACAAGCTCACATAGCCCCTGAAATCTTTCCATGGACCCCCAAAGGGTTCCCCTGGTTAAGAACCCCTTCCTAGAGTTCTCTGACTGGCTTACAAAATGTTGGGTTAGATTATTTTAGACCAGTGGTTCCCAACCTTTGGGCCTCCAGGTGTTTTGGACTTCAGCTTCCACAGTTCCTAACAGTTGGTAAACTAGCTGGGATTTCTGGGAGTTGAAGTCCAAAACATCTGGAGGCCCAAAGGTTGGGAACCACTGCTTTAGACTGATCATAAGAAGCTGTTTATAGATTCACAATGAACCAGCAAAAAGCACCTATTTAAATGTAGAAATGAGCAAGTCACATTGTATTTGCTGTGAAAAGATGTGTGTCCTATGAGTTTTAAGTTCAGATTTAACAGAAAACTAGAGGGGGCTACTGATCACATCACCTCTTGCTTGAAGGGTATAAATTCCAGCCCTTCATCAGCTACTTTCTCATCCCACTACTCCAATTAGAAGAAAATTGATTGTGCGGAGAAGGGATCTGCTGATCTACCAGCAAATAACATACTGAGTGCCTTTTCCTACCAGGAAAACATGAGGCTGGATGACAAATTTCTATTTTCCTGGCAGGAAATACCATTCTGAGTATAATTTCCCCAAAAGCGAGAGGCCCAGTGAGAAGATTTCATTCTTCTTTGGCATCTTCTGCCAATCATTTTTGCCAAAGGCAGATTAGTTGTTCATGGGAGAGGTAGGAGTGAAGACAAGGTTGAGATGGACAGAATACTCGAGTTAGGCTGCATCTTCTTAGTATGCTTGCTTTCTTGCAGTGGTAAGTTACATACACTGGTATTTGCCCATTCCTGATGTTATGAAGTTGCTTTTGTGGTTCATTTCTCATCCTTGTTATGATTTATTGCATTACTGGATGTTCTATTTCCATAAAAAAATGTTTGAAGTTCTTGTTGCCAGGAAACTGTCATATGAATGAAATTATTATTATTTTGAATGAGAAGATGCTAAAGCAATATAAAATGTATGTCTTTGTTTTTTATTAATTCATTTGAAAAAGCCATCAGAGATATTATTACCTTGAGGGAAGTGTTGAGCATAGTTGAAATTCTTCCCCGTCTTAAAAAAACAAACGTATATACTCGAGTATAATCCGACCTGAATATAAGCCGAGGCACCAAATTTTACCACAAAAAACAGGGAAAACATACTGACTCGAGTATAAGCAGAGGGTAGGTAATGCAGCAGCAACTGGTAAATTTCAAAATAAAAATAGATACAATACAATTACATTAATTGAGGCATCAGTAGGCTAAATGTTTTGAATATTTACATAAAACTATAATTTAAGATTAGACTGTGGAACTCTGATTAAAACATTATTCTAACCTTCTTCAATGTAAATGTGCTTGCATATCCTTCCAATAAAAATAGAATAAAATAATAAATGTAATACTACTAATAATAATAATAATAATAATAGAGTTAAATAATGGAAATGTAATAATAACAGTAATAATAGAGTAAAATAATAAATATAATAAAAACAATAATAAAGTAGAATGATCAACGTAACAACAAAAACAATACATTTATTATGTATTTCTAACAGGGTAAAATAATAAATAACCTTGACTCGAATATAAGCCGAGCGGGACTTTTTCAGCCTAAAAAAAGGGCTGAAAAACTTATACTCGAGTATATACAGTATTTCAGATGTATTTGTTAGAAGAGGAAAGACATTTAAATGTGATTATCTGCCATTCCATTTCAGTACTATAAATCACTACAATTCAACATTTCATAGAATGGATATTGTATTGTTAGCATTGTGAAGTAGCATGGGAAGCAGGAAAGAGAGCCACTGAAATCTAATCCTGTACAAGTGAGAGTTTGTGATGCATATTATCCAAATGATAGTACTGTAAAGCAAGACTTTAGCTTAAATCTCCCTGTCACCATTAATTTGCAATATAGGCCTAGATAAGCTCTTACATCACAGATTCTTCTCACTTTGTGCAGTCATTCCTTCTACTGGTGCTGTATGATAAGAGACATGGAGGAAAAACAGAACACCGAGAAACAAGAAGGAAACTGATGTGCACCAAAATACACAGAACAGAGACCCAGTAGTAGATCAGGATCAGCTTGTTCAGTTGCTACAGAATGTCGATTAAAAAAAAAAAAGAAACAGAAAACAAGAGAAGTAGAATGGCCTGGTGGCTTCAACTCTGAGCAGGAACACTCATTTCAGAAGATGGAGATACGTTGCAGTGTTCTGCATTGTCTCACTGAAACAGGCCTAATAATGACACACTTTCAGTAGGTTTGTGAAACAATACATGAACCACTTTTCATACAAGGTACAATGCTGAGTTTCATTTAGAAATAAATAAAAATTCCCATTAAACTACCAACAACACTGAAACAGTTGTACACAATCAGTTTAACATATGTTGAAGTGATGCTATAATAGGATAATCCAATGTACTCTTGAGTTCTGGCAGAAGGGTGTGGATGCTGATTGTCATAATTGGTATACAGGAGAAAACCTTTGCAACCATCTTAATGATTAGATCAAAATGTCTATCAACGTACTGTGCAAGCAAATTGTCTTAGGTGCTGCTATTTTTTGTGATTCTACCTTTCCTTGCTTGGTCTTTCTATTCTGTTCTTCCTCCTGGTATAATACTACCATTTTTCTGTGTATCTGATCTTATTTGAACAACAATCAATAGAATATTAGACTAGCAGCTTGGATACTTTTTGAAGCTGATTCCTCTGAAATGAACATGATTTAATTCACATTGATGTGTTTTGAATTATGATGTAAGACTGCTCTTTTGTGTTGGTCTAAATATATATAGCTCAGTCTTTCACAAACACAGCCCTGATGGGAAAAGAACAGTTCAAAAACACCAGGATTTACATAGCAAAGAGACCTGCATTTTGACTCTTAATTTTAACTGGTTTAAAGTGTTAAAGGCTCTCAGGCAGGGATTAATAATTGATTCTTTGTGCACTAAAAAAATAAACTGAAACTGGCAAGGATTTCAAGAGGCTGCCGCATGCTGCTTAGTCTTCTGTTGTGCTTCACTGCTTTTATCCACTCTCAAATTGTTTGCACAATCTTCTATGCCCAAGGGTTTTGTGTCAGAATAATTGCTTTATTTTTGCAAGCAGAAAGTGCAGAATCTTTCCTTGGGTGCAAATGTGAATGTTTTAAGGGTATGTTGTTCCTTGGGTAGGCTGATTTTTCCCTAGGCTTCTCTATCCCCAGCTACTGTTTGCTCACCTTAACTGAAGATCTATTTTTGTAGAAGATTTAGCTTCTGTTTAACTTATGTGAACAGCAGTGGGATTAAAATAAAATTTAATTGTAATTTGATCCTAAAAACTATTAAGTACTGTCCCCTAATGTGTCCTTCCCCATTAGTTTTGAAGATAAGAAGAGCCTCTACATCAGTGGTTCTCAACCTGTGAATCCCCAGGTGTTTTGGCCTACAACTCCCAGAAATCCCAGCCATTTTATCAGCTGTTAGGATTTCTGAGAGATGAAGGCTAAACATCTGGGGACCCACAGGTTGAGAACCATTGCTCTGCATGAAAACTCGGGTGGGGGGGGGGGGGAATGAAATCCTTGCACATATCTTCTCACATAAAGTTTTATGAACATGAGCTTTAATACTCTTCTTACCTTATTCTTGATCTCTGTAAATTTGAGTAACTGCAGTATATCTTGTTATTTCTTGCTTTTTATTGCACAATGTGTCAATTTTTCAATGTATGTCTCTGTTCCCGCATGCATGTGCACATAATGTACGGGCGGGGGGGGGGGGGGGGGGGGGGCAGTAACAGAAGGACTATGTGTAAACGTTGGATATGAAAAATAGGCAATCAGTGATCAAGTTCCCTGTAGATAGAAAAGAGACATGCATTCTAATCTTAATCCAACCATTAACCTGTTGCTCTGTGTGTTTTTGGAATCACTTTCCTAATTCAGCTGTCATAATAACATTGTATATTTATTGTACTGTTCGCTCTAGCCACAATACACTGCATTTCTGGAGAAACTGGAAAACCTTAATTTGCTCTTTGCTTGTTCTGATGCTCTCAAGATTTATCTGCAGGTCTTATAACCAACCCACATTTTTTATCTTTTGCCAATTTTATAGGAATTTGTGATGAGTACAATAATTGTTAATAAGTGTTTGCATGATTTAGTGATGCCTTTGTAACAGTCCTTTTATTTTTTGCTTTTTCCTAGGACCGGAATCGGCCCTATGATACTTTTAACTTGCATTCTTTGGAAAACTCATTAATGGATATGATAAGGACTGATCATGAGCCTCTTAAAGGTAAACACTACCCTCCCAGTGGCCCACCAATGAGTTTCGCTGATATAATGTGGAGGAATCATTTTACAGGTTAGGAATATTCATATGTTCATACTCGCTTTAAAAGAAAACAGCCTTTTGCTGATAAAACATTTAAGTGTTATACATTTTTGCTAGTAAACAAATTGCTAAATATTTGATGCTGCTCTAGGCTTAATAACCTCAGTTAACTGAGGTGAAAAGTAAGTATGCAGTGTGAATAATTATGCAACTAGATATTAAGTCATGATTTCTGCAAAGGACATTTCTCTTACAAAATGTTCTGGGTTTTTTTTTACTATTTTTTCCAATCAAAGATAGAACTGAGAAGCCAGATATTTTGTTCTATTTTGAAATAAAATATATAAAATATATATAGTTATTTTAATGTTTTCAGATTGTTTTAAAATCTATCCAAAATTACTGTGCTGTTAGTGTGGATGCAAGAAGCAAACCTCAAATGGCTGGGAATTGGGGGAGAGAAAAATTACTTTTTTTAATGACTTACTTCGTGGTTGTAATGAAATATTGATGATCTCTTCAGCTGAGCAGACCAGACTGTTCTTTCAGCTCCAGCTATTAAGATTAAACTACTTCTAGCACTCATCATAAACCATATGACTGAGTAGTTTGGACAGCTTTTAGTTTAATAATTCATACTAGTGTCTACTACCATATCAATCTCCTTAGTCTTTAGTTAAATGCACTGTGTAGCCTCCAGTAATTATTTAACTTTGAGGACATAGATCAGTAAAATCCTATGTTAAATATTTTCACAAATCCACTTTGAATACATCTTGTGCTAAAAAATAATTGCTTTTGGGGATCAAATACATTGCAAAGTTGGTAGTATTGGACAAAGGACAGGATATTTGGGGTCTAGGGACATCTGTGATATGATTGCCCAGAAGCATATAATGAGTGGTGAGCCATCACCAGCTCTGAGTAAAGATTAAACAAAAGACATGGATCCTGCAGGATGCATATGAAGTCATATCAAAAGACATGTTTTGCAGGAAATTTAAGGGTTGGACAGGGAACTGGTCCTGAGAATAGTCAAAGAAATCTTGCTTTCTGCCTCGTGTTTACCAGTTAAATTGTTGGAATAGATCCTCATATAAAGCCCTACTGAATGGGCTCATTGCTTTGTTTAATTGGGTAGCTTGTATAATTGAGATTAAGTAGCTAAGATGGGTATGTATATTTGTTTCCTATAATATTTGTTGTCTTAGCTATATTACTATGATCATGAATTTCTCTTCAAAGCTGACCATCTTCTTTAGAAAATATTACTGAATCAATCTTTTAAAGGTTACGTTGTAGGAGGTTCAAGCATAAAATTAAACACTATCTTGAAAATACAGCCAGGTGGTTGGCTAGAATTTGAAACAATCTAGGGAATTATGGTGCTTGTTAATCAAAGGACTCTTGATTTTTCTTTTTTTGAAAAGAACAGAGGGAGGGAATCACATAATAGAATGATAAATCTGTTAACTTCCTTGGAAAATATGATTATGGTGAAATAGCAAAAGGACAAATCTTACTTTAGCAACAGAACAGGTTCCTCCTTTGTAACTGAGGGCATAACATAATGAATTTACCATTCTGTTTTCCAAGAGAAGAGAATGGGCAGAAGGTTCAAGATACACTTTGAAAGCTGCCATTGTTTTCTTCGAATTTATGACACCTGAGGCAGTAATCTCATTTTGGCCAGTGGTTTAGTTGGCCATGCAAATGGATACAAGTGCCAGGCTAGTTAGAGGAACTTTCTATTGTATGTGCCCAACTAAAACTCAAATGTTTCCAACTAAAGTCTTGCCTGTTTTCTTAAAAACAGCCACCTAGGTGGGACCATGTGAACTTAGATTATTTTAGAGCTAATCTACATGCTTCATTCATATTTTAAAAACCAATATGTGACTTTCTGATATATTTGCTACGGTAATGTTATTTGGGTTCTTTCAGAAGAAAATTGTGTGCACAATGTGATTTTAAACCTAGATCTAGGCCTCACTGTAGCAATAAACATATCTCATTTGTGCTGCTTCAAAATGGGGATACTAAGAAAGAGGAAAGTCAGAGTTAGAGCATATAATCAGATTACAGTTGAAATATCCTTGGTATTGCTACTGAAGACTGTAAAGCGTGATTTGTCTCTTAATGTCTGCAAAGGTGGAATGAACTGTTCACCCCTGTAGATCTAAAAAGAACTAAGTGATTTGACTTTTATGTCTAAGTGTCGAATCTTTGAGGCAGCTTTCAGCTAGCATGCCACAGTTAGTAGGCATTTGTGTATTAATACTCCTCACTGGGCATGGAAATACCTATCTGAATTACATGTTTGAAGAAATACTAAGGGGTTACAAAATAATTAAATGCTGCTGTAAATATACACAGGAATATTCCTCCAGTCTGGTATACATGTACACCTCTAGAGTGGCTCTATTTTGCTAAGTTTTAGGTAAAAAATGGAAACCTACCCTTCATTTTAAAATTAATTTTGCTTTGCTTTAAAATATAGTTTTCTCTTATTTTAATATGATCATTTCTGTTTGCTGTGATTTTTTGTTTTTTATTTTGTATCTTTCAGGGAATTACTTTGAGCTGAAGGGTGAATAATAAATTTTAAAATAAGCAAATCCTTTTCTAATTTTTCTTCAAATATTGTAATGTCTTTAGATGTCATAGTTGCTTTCCTCTTTTAAAAATGGAAATGTAATGTAGATTTTCGATGTAGTGTAGTTGGTGGGGGGGGGGAGGTAAGTAAATAAGAGTGCTTAAGTATTTGTTGACCTATCAAACATGTCTTAAGCAACAGTAAGGCACTCTCAACAAGGTATGTTGTACTATGTTGGCATTTTGAGAAAGTCCAGTTGGAATTTTATGAGAGTTGATTATTGTTCTGGTTTATGAACAGGACATACTTAATAAATTTGGTCAGCTTGCTTAGTGATTGCCCAGTGTAGCTATAGAATGCTTGTCTCACTAATTTCGTTTCCAGAAAAATGAAATAGACTATGCAAGTAAGACATGAATGGATAGGTTTATTTAGGGTACTTAACCTTTGGCAAATATGCAGATTTGGAAGACTTACTTCAGAGCCAATATGATGTTTTAAATAACATGTCAGCTTATCACAGGGCACTGTTACAACTTCTTTGCACCAATTCCTCCTTGAACTAGACTTGAACTGGTTTTATTCTTTTATTTAGGCCTCTCCCCACCAAATAATTTTGCAAGAAATTAATGCTTTCCCAACATTTGGTGCAGATTGCTATTCTACAGCTTTGAGAGACCACTTGCCTCTCACAAAGATTTTTAGCACACTTGCTGAAGATTCAGGCAAGCAGCATTTTTCCAGTTGTAGTGTTGCCAGATGCTGCCTAGGCATGTGTTTCCGTCTGCTGTAGACTGAATAGGTGTGTGGGCAAGTGTAGAGAAGTTGCCTTGAGTAGAGGTTGGGGTAAAGTGGGAGAGAGAAGAGTAATCCTATGTAAGGACACTCATGGGCATTACACTCTGTGAGTGTTATATAGGATTCAGACTATTAACCCCCCCCCCCCAAGTTTTGAATCTAATGAGAGAGCCCTCTTTTTTTCCTTTTTTTTTTTTTTACTCTTCTGCAGTTGCCTTTTTCCCCTGAAGAAACAAGAGGATTCTGTTGAGTCTATTTTCAAGTAATGCAAAGGATACTGGAATGGAAAGGAAATGATAAAATTAGATTAGAGAGAAAGCTGCCACAAATAATTTCCAAGTTTTACTTTGATAGTAAAATAGCAGATGTATAGCCATTCAGAAGGAGCTCTAAAATAAGCTAATCCAGATAAGGGGTTTCTGATCTCTTATCAGCAAGACAGTATCCTCAAGTGCTCCCTGACCCCTCATTGGACACTGTTTATAAATTATATTTACATGTATCACAAGGTATAGTTTTTAGAATAATGTCTGTCGATGACTGAACTGCTAAAAGTATAAGTAAGCTTGGTCCCAAAGACAAGTAAAGCAAAGAAAGGAACATTTCAACCCTTGATAATCTTCCTTCCTGGCTCATATACACATATGTGCTCAAATTATTTGCCCTTTCAGTGGCAGGGAGCTCTTGTCATATCCCGCCTACTTCTTGCTTAGTCAAGAGTACTTCCAGTAATCTAATCCACGTCTTTTCCCATCTACCCTACACAAACTTTAAGCATTTAGCAAGGTCAATCAGGCCAAACCAAATTATTTCCCCTTTGAAACATATTCTGGTAAAGGTCCTAGCAGAAATAAGGCATGATCCTACATACAAAATTTTTACCCCTGAAAACTATGTAGTGGGGAGAGTAATTCAACGTACATGAAAAGACACTTCACACAAAACCGTAGGAATTGTAGTGAGCAATCATAAGGAAGAGATCTTAAATTTGTTAGGACTCTATGCTTGCACTACATTGAACTATAATTCCTTCTACATAATTACAGCTGCAAACTTGTATTGCTCGGCATGCTGGTTCAATATTTGTAATATTGTATAAATAGCTATGTATTTAGTCTGGATCCCACAGTTGTACTATTGATTATGCAGTGGATACTGTGGTCTATAGCTCATCCATTGGGGAATAGTTGCTAAACTCCCAATTCAGAAGTAAAACATAAGAACAAAAGCTGTGTGTGTGTTTACAAGTAGTTGGTTACACTAAACACTGCATTTATACAACTTCAGAGACACCAACTTTTTGCACAATTATTTTTATGAAAACATACTGCTCAAACAGGATTCCAGACCGATTTTTTAACTAAGATTTAAAAAAATAAAAAATAACATTTGATATTGCCTTGTTTTGTTCATGGGTGCGTATGGCAACCCAAACCATTTTTATTTATTTTCTGTTTCTTAAGACTCATTACTTTATGTAAAGTTCACAAAAATACACATAGTATTGAATGCCATTACTTTGGAGAGTTGAGCTGTTTTTCGGTCTTTTGAAATTCTTGACCAAATTGATTGATTGAACCTTGTAAATTATTTACCAAATTGAAATTCTTGACCAAATTGATTGATTGAGCCTTGT